ACCGCGAGGATTCAAGCTCGGGGTCTTGTGCCCCAATGGAACTGCAGAGAGGTAGACAGCAACACAACACCAACAGCAAATATAAAAACCCAATACAATAGGAAATCTATGAACCTATCCAAGTAAACATTGCCATAGAGATGTTGAGAGAGTGTAGGTGTACTCATGCTGGAAATATCAAAGCTATAGACCCGAAAATGTATAACAAAGAAAACTCTGAATATGGGCTCCAGCAGCTTGAAAGCTCGTAGCTTCACCAACTTACATGCATTGAAGAAAAGGAGTTTCTCCTGAAGCAGCCAGACTATACCTGAGAGCAAGCATTCGCATTTCTCTCACCATGTGGCTAGATACACAGAAAAATACACGAAATATAAACAAGAAGCATACGAATGAACCATAAACACAAAAACTTTCGATATTTTACGTAGAGATCCTCTGAAATATATCATCGGAATGGGCTAGTCTATGTATACGCTCCTGAAACGTGATGAAGCATTTCATCTTTGTTTATACTTACCTGCAGTAAACACAAGAAGAACGAAAACCACCAAAACAACCTGAAGGACAGCGTTACTCGGCCCATGGTTTAGCGGCATCTTCTTGAGGGGGCTAATGCAGTTGCTAGGCTCCCCTTTATTATAAGCGAAACCACACCCTCCCCCTCATAGGCTTTCAATGAATCTCAGTAAAAAGCAGCTGTAGAGGGTGATCACTAGCAAATAAAAGTTTTTTTTTTTACGCGAAAAGCCGAGCTACACCCAGCATACCGTTCTGAGCAGTATGCGTCCTTCTCTTCTCTTCCTGGATCACCTTGCTCCCTGTGTAAAAGAAAGTCAATAAAGCAAAAAGGATTTCAATTAAAAAANCTCTTCCTGGATCACCTTGCTCCCTGTGTAAAAGAAAGTCAATAAAGCAAAAAGGATTTCAATTAAAAAAACAGAAAATTAAAAATTTTACTATAATATATTCTCTTATTAGTTTTTTAGCTTAGAGTTGACGTCTCGATATATAGGATCTCGCTCTGGGGCTTAGCTGAGCGCCATCGGGGTATGGGGGGGGGTGAGTTGCAGCAGGTATTGAAACAAGCAGAACTTCAACTCGTCTCAGGCTGATTAAAACACTTTAAAAATATATATTTCTGCTTCTGTGCCTAGGAAGCATGCGGGA